CACCCTGGCCCAGCCCTGCTGGCCCTTCCTGGCCCAGGGCTCTCTGAGCCAGGCCTCCGCACCCAGGCCCACAGGACAGCAGGCACCCGGGTCCCCACCAGGGCTGAGCCCGGGACGCCTTCCCTCCCCCGCACACCCCCTTCCTCCCACAGGAGGCCCCGGGCACCGAGGAGGACTCTCAGCTCTAATTACACGTCCTGGAAAGAAACCCCAGTTTAATTTGAGTAAAACGAGAAGCTGTGGTTGGAAATGTCCCCTTGGGGAGCCACCTGCCTGAGCTGGGACACGTTTCTCTGCTGTCCCCAAGGACCAGGAAGGCAAGCCCCAGGCTGAGGCCAGGAGAGGGCAGGGCCACCGAGACTTCAGGGTCCTGGGGCTCCCTGCCAGCAGGAAGACATCCCCAGGGCTTGAGGGGACCCTGACCAGGTCCCGACTCCCAGCTGGAATCAGCCCTCAGGACCAAAGGGTGGGGCCGGGGCCTCTGCGGGAACTGGGAGGGCCGGTGGTGACTCGGGGACAGTGCCAGGGGGTGGTAGGTTATGGACGGTCTGGGACCTGGGTGCACCGTCCCTCTCATCTGCCAACCCCAAGTGCACACACTCCGCTCACCCTCCCATTTCCCGTTACAGACAGGCCTCCACTCCTGGGGTCTCGACTCCACCCCCTCATCCAACTCCGGGACTTCCCGCCTGTCACCCAATGGTCCTCGCCTCCTGGGCCAGCGCAGGGCTGGGGCCCCCACCTAATGAAACCCTCGGGCCCTTCACGTTCCTGCGCCAGGGCCCAGGTCTCCGCCCGGCGTGGCACACACAGCAGGTGCTCCCCTGGGCCTTCCCCACCCGTGGGCCAAGGACCCGGCACTCACCTCCGCTGAGCGCCATGCTCACCACCCATCCCTCTCCGTTCTTTTCAAACACCTGCTCTTCCTGAAACTCCACCCACCTCACTGCCACCCAGCCTGCACACCCTGGGTCCCTGCCCTGGCAGCACCCCCACACACCTCGTGCACGGGCACCCTGTTGGGTCCCAGCTCTGAAGACCACTGATAGGCCTGCACCCCGGCGGGGACACCTCCAGCCACGGCCAGTCCCAATACCCAGGCCGCGTCCCCTCACGTCCTTCCGATGGCGCCTCGGTACTGAGGCCTCCGCTGACACCGAGGCCCCACGCCCCCCCCCCCGGCCTCCTCGCCCCCTGCCACGTGACAAAGGAAGCCTGGCGCTGCCCGGCGGAGCAGCCTTCTCCACACACCAGCACCGCGCGGAGCCGGGAAGAGCCGGCCGGGCC